CCGACTCATCCAAATACGCAGATCACCTGCAGGCCCAGGGAGAGATGTAAATTGTTTTCAAGCACTTGTCAAGCACTCTAGGAGCCACAACTGATTAGTGAGTCATGCAAAGATGTCATCATGAATATATTTCTTGTACTTCTGCTTCATCAAATGTAAAAAACACACAGGAGAGAAAACCGTGAGTTCAAACACCAGTCTTTGGTCCAGACCCCTATTTCTTCTGGAAATAAAAGACAAAAACCTCTTCATTTCTAGTTTTGGTAAGGACCAACTTCTCTTTCTAAAGACGCTTCTGAAGGACAAAAGACCGGCTGCACAAAGTTAGAGCAGAAGTCCACCTTGCCCAAGATACTGACCTACAGCAGACACCTTGGGCAGAACCTAAGGACAGGGCAAGGATATTGTTATACACCCCTGAAGGCTCCCTCACCTTCCAGCCATTTCTGATTCAAGGTACTTCCTGAACTAGAAGGGGTGTCCAGATATTTAAACGACCATCCATGACTTTGTCCAATTACTTTGGAGCCTACATAAATTTGAATGACAACATATTGGGGCAAACATTTCACAGCTTGGGTAAGCTCTGTGGCAAAGAGACCTTATTTCTTCTGAACCTCCTATCTTGTAATTTATTTGACTCTCCCTACCCCACAAGCTCATCAGACCAACCCTTGAAAAAGAAAGGAGGCTTGAGTTTTTTTCAGTTATGATCTCAAATAAATAGTCTTGATCACAAGCTCTGAAACCTAATTGTCCAAAGAAATTACTCTGATGGTCACCCCTCCCCCAACCCAAAATAATATAGAACAATCTGCTCCTACAGGTTGAAGTAGGAAAGGAAGAAGCTGGGATACGAGATCTTTTGGGGCATCCTCCTACATGTTGAGCTACAGAGAGGACTAGCTATGCCTGAGGTGGTAGGCGGAAGCTATTTCTCCTCTCTTTCTGGCTCAAGTTTCAGTGAGGCTGGTGGCCTGATTCTAAGAGGCTGCTGAAATATTCCCTTGTGAAGCTTAAAGATTTCTAACAGTCCACCCTGAGCCAAGACATTTGGCTACACATACTGCGAGCGCAATTCTCCCTAGGACTTCTATCCTACAGTTGAATAGGTAACCTCCTTTAAAAAACATGCCCATGGTATTAGCTTGCATCACAGAGACTGGAGTTTTGGATCCAAAAGTGCTTCCTAGAAGATCCCACTCTATTCAAAGCCCTAGTAGCTGTACCTGACTCACTGAAGCCAGCTTGAGAGCACCCCTCAGTCTCACTCACTGGACTCCAAAAACAACTTTGTATTCTGTCCTCACGAAAGTGGCAGCCCATATTTTTCATTCACAGTTTTGAAAGAAGGAAAAGAAGGCAGTCCTCCTTTGAAACGGAGAAGTTCTCACACTGTATTTGGGATCCTCTTTGAAGTTTCACCTTTTCACGTCAAAATATTTGGCTTTGACAGGAAGAAGAGGGGATGCTAGCCTCTCCCTTTCTTCCTTTACCCCTAAGTAATGCTCATGATTTCCTTCGCATGCATTTTCATTTTTCTTTGTCACTTCCTTTTTAAAAAGCTCAGAGAAGGTTTTGGACTCAGTAAGGGAAGAAAAAAAACAAGAAAACAAAAACAAAGATGGGAGAATAAGGGGAAGTGCCAAAATGGGAACGTCAGACTTCAGAATTTTGTTTTTTTGAAATGGGAAACCATTTCATTTCAAGCCCTACCCAACAAACAAAAACTTCCACTTTTTCTGCTAATGAACACTGCTTCCAATCATAGATGCAACAGCACTAGCTATCTGAGTAGACTTGCAAATTCGCAGTTCACAGATTTGGACCAGAGAGAATATTAGGATAATCTAACGTGACCTCCTCTGTATTAGAGGCCATAGGATTTTCTCTAACAATTCTTACAGCATGCCCATGCTTTCTGACTGCATCTGACTCGGGTTTTCTGACTGCATCAATCCCGATTTGAAGACCTCAAGTGCTGACAAACCTACCACATGCTTAGGCTTGCAGTCTCAGGGTTGCCTAGAAGATAACCTTCACCTGAAGCCCATTCAGCTGTTTGTACTCCTGTGTCCTCAGAAGCAACGGATGATCTCTCACTGACAGCTGAGACCCAAATTGAGATTGTCATTGGATTCTCAAAGATCAACTAAAAATCATCCCCAGGAATCCAGCAGCTTGATTTTAAGGAATCAAGACAGCATGATTTGTGTACCCCTCTCTTTCTCCTCACACTAAAATTTAAGCGTTCGCAGTGGTTTCTGGAGAGGCAGGAGGTTAGAGGTGTAATTTTTCTCCAGCTCCTTTCGAATGACCTCATGGCTTTCTAGAAGAGGAGACACCGACAAAGCCATCTCCTTACAGGACAATGCTTTAGAAGGGCATCTTTAACAATTTTTTTCCAGATAGTCTCCATCCAATTCCAGAAGAAGTACTGGCCCAAATGACTACGAAAGCATTTTCTTCAGAGAAACTTTCTAAAACGAAGATAACGTGACCAAACCTTCGTCACCTCTCAACTTAATGGCACCATAAATTCAGGAGATGGGAGACCACAGAGTCAGGTGCCAGGAGTACCTTCAAAAGAAGGCATGCTAGGGAACCTCTGAAAAGTGAGAGGCCCCAGAGTATCACAACAAACTCCAAACGAGTCTGTGTACTCAACTCATGTTCTCCATAAGAATGAGTCACATCTGAAACTGTAAGCAACAGCCTTTTCTTAGCCCTAGAAACCACAGAGTGGGACATTCAGAGCTGAGAACCCCAGAGCTGATTGTCACATAGGCTTGCCTCTGAAATGCCTTTTCCCACTGATCCCGCACATCACCCCTGTGGAGCTACTGACCAGAGAATTTCTCAGGAAGCAGTTCTCCTGGCCTTCAGTGAATTAACTGAGGGTTGGCCTGGAAGATGGTTGCAAGCTAGGAGACGTGCTTTGCACTAGAGCTCTGAGGAGTCTCTCTTCAGCTGAAATGGCCAGATGACTCAGAAAGCTGCCCCAAGATGGAGAGCCAATCTGACCAACCCTGACCTCTCCCCCGTGGAAACTCCTCAGAGCCAAGAAGCCAGCTGTGTTAGCCTCATTCACATTTTGAATGCCGGATGTTGTCCAGGATGCTGGTTCTTGGAGAATGAATCGCACTGAGCTACGCAGAACTCTCCCTTCTGCCCGGTTTGAGAAAACAATCTGACACAACCAGTTCTTGCTAGTCTCCTGACGTCATGACTCCTTTCAACACACGACCATTAAATAAAAGGAACATAACAGCATAACACCCCAGAAGAACTGGAAAGGACTTCTCAAACTAGAGCGACAGACTGTAAATGCTTGTAAACTGTGAGTGCTATGTGACACGCTTCTGGTTCAAATTAACAGAGGTACGGTTAAGGTTAAAAGGGGATTACGCCCAAGACATGTGGGTCTCCTCTCAAAAGCATGCATCAGCAGCAGCATGGAAGCACGTGCAAGTCAAACTAACAGTCTTCACACGACACAGCCACATGGACAACAACGCTTTTAGTGAAGCCCTTCAGCAACACCATGTAAAAGCTGCCAGGGACATGATACAGTTTGCTTATTTCTAACACAGAAAATAAAAATCACACAGAACTAATGACTAACAAACATAGGGAATTCTGACGCACTGACCACTTTCCACATTACTATTTCTCTAAGGGCTGATTGGAAACACGAAAAAGTCCTACTTTGCAATCACTATAGCAACCCAGGCCATGCATAGACTTGACTTCAGAGGCTGAATAAAGGTACTGAACAACACTTATTCCAAACTTTCTGCCCAAAAGTTCCAAGGATACAGCAAAACTGATTTAAAAACTCCCCTTCTTCTCACCAGTTAACGCACTGTAATAGAAACCATCGCCCTTTCACATGATCTTTCATAAGAAAATGAATACCAAAGTCTTCATGCCTCATACTCATTACAGTTTCTGTGGTACCTTCTTCCAGATCCAGGATGCTATCAGTAACACCCTGGCAAGATTACTGCCAAGCAAACTGCTCTGCCACCTCCGCCTGTGCCGGAAGGTCCCAATAGCCAGAACCCAAACACTTCCTTCCCAAACCCAACGCTTCCTGCTCCAAACAGCTAATCCACACACAACACCATCGAGCAACAGCAAAACAGTCACAGTGCCCTGCCCCAGACGTGACCGTATTCAGCATTTGGGTACGACAATCCCCTTCCATTCCTAATCCCATTAAAAATGTTGCGATCCTTCAGTCTAACATTACTGGTGTTGCACCTCAGAGCGCTCGCAGCCTCCTGAGGCAGCTGAAGGGCCAAGACTGAGCCCCTTTCTATCCTCCAATTCTGTCCCAACACGCAATTTGCACAAGTGGCTGCCAAGGACCAAGGGCACAAATGACTTCAAATCACAGAAGCCTACCCTTCCCTGCACCCGCAGCTGGCACAGAAGAAGCCATGCGAACACAAGGGACAGCCTACATGCCAAATTTCCTTCAAACATCCAAGAACAACATCACCACTTGCCCAGGACTCAGCAGGAGAAGTTGCAGGACCAAAGGGATTATTTTTAATAAAGGATTACAGAAATATCAATCACAAGGCTTAGAATGAGAAACAAGGCCAAAATCACAAGTTTGATGCTGAAGCAGATCTGTTAAGAGTGTCTGCAAATTTTCCCTCAGCATTTGAACAAACCGCATATCTGCGGGACCAAAATGCTGTAAGAGGCCTCTGGGTAAGGAGGGGGGAGAAGCATTTCCCTTAGCCCAGGTCCTATCGACTCCAAGAACGAGCACAAGCTCTCTGTTTCAAATCAGCACAGGGCAGGAATCACAGGCTGTAGCCCCTACAAAGAAATTACAGCTACCCAACATCTGTAGCTGACCTTCAATTTACCTAACCCCACGGAGAAGACTCATAGACTCCTAATCCTGCCTCCAAAAGAGTTCAGAAAACTCCTTTTTGCCCCAGAAGCAACAGCTTTGATCCAACACCACTCAAGAGACTTACCTTCCCAAACTGCTCGAAATACTGTTTCACATCCTCCACAGTAGTGTTCACTGACAGACCACCCACAAATATCTTCTTCGTTCGGGTCACCATCTGGAAAAGGGAAGGACAGGAATTCACCAAATAAACCGAGAGGGAGCAGAGAACAAGACTCAAAAGGCCACTAACTCCCTCTCTGCTGCCAGGAAGCATCTGCCCTTTCGCTGCGGCCGAGCTTCCACCCGTCACGGAGCTCCACAGCCAAACGTGACCAGCCGGCGTTTCCCACACCGGACCTCGAGGCACGCTCTCGGCCAAGCCCTCACCCCACCCCACCCGTGCAGGCTCACCAGGTCATCGGCACCTCAGCTCTCGCTGGCGCACAGCCCATCCCCTTCGCTCGATGCCACCTTGGCTTGCACAGTGCTTCGCCAGCCTCTCCCCTCGCTAGGCACGATCGCAACCCCCCAGGGACGCAGGATATTATGGTCCCCTTCCCAGCCCGCTGGCTCTCGCCCTTAGGTGCCTTGCGGGGCCGGCGCGGGGGAGGGCTGCCGTCGCAGGTAGGCTCCCCGGGCCGCGCCGCCCTAGCTCACCAACTGGCACAGCGTCCTGTCTTACATGGAATAAGCCCCATTTTGCACCCATTCCCTAGTCACTTAAATGGAGCCCAGAAGACTCCAGTTGAATCTTTTTTCCCTTGGGAGGAAGGCAAAGGGAAGAACTCTCTGCCGCTTCTCACTCATGCAACCGGGGCAAGAAAAAAACAAAACAAATCAAACAAACAAAAAAACTAGGTACCCCGTGAGGGGCCACTGCTGCCAGGCTGAGGCACACTGACATCCTTTGAACTGGCTCTCCAGCTGCATCCTCCCCTTCGCTGCCTGGCTACACCCCTGCTCTCAGAGGAACACATGGTCCTAATTACCCCAAGGAGCATAGGGCTAATCCGCAGCAATTCCCTGGCTTGGAGAGCAGCCCGTTCTAACACTAAAGCACCTTCTGTCACCAAACTGCTTAATGGAATTAACCCAATTCCTACCATGTGCTTCCTGGCTCCAGTTACTCAGGATACCTGCTCACCAATTGTTCCCCATGCCTGATCCCCCTTCATTTCCTTCCCTGCACCAGTCTCTTCTTCCCTCTGCGCTTCTCACCGCTGCTCCTCCCAAGCTCTTTCTCCTGTGACAGCACTTGGAATTGAGACCGTAAAAGTTAAAGGGAGACCCAAATCTAAAAGCAGTCTCTGGGCCACTGCCGCCTCAGCTAAAAATTTCTGCTTGCACGTTTGGAACAAGTTCCTGCAACTGCTCAGTCTGATGCCACAGCCTCTCGCAGATAAGGTCTAACTCCAAACCCCTTCTGCCTTTTCCAGTGCGGAAGCACTCAAGGGCATTTCACAAAATGAAATCCTTTTCCTCAAATTCCTGAACAAAATGAAATTCCTTCCCTGCCATACGTTTGTTCATACGCACATGTGTGCATGCGCACACACAACCCTCTTTCCACTTGGATCACAGTGCAGCACAAAACCGCCCTGTATCTCTCCGTAGGCCTGTAACTTAAGGACCAGCTTCATCCTAGGCAGAGTTTAGTTCACCAGTCCTAACTATTGCCATGCTGTAGTATAATGGAGAGGCCTGTTGGCTCCTCCAGCACCGCACAACGGCCCCGCGCTCCACTGCAAGCTGGAGAGCGGCACTCGGCAGCTCCGCGTGTTGAAGCCGACGGTGCAGCACAGCAGCTCCCGCTCAAAGCGAGTCCTGAGCAACCTCAGGCAGAAGGACAAGATTCACCACTACGAATTCCACCCTTTGGAGCAGCAAGGGCTGCACGCAGTACCTACCTTGGGCTGTGCTCGGCGGGGGAACGCTACCTTCGGGTCAATCTGAAAGAGATGTGGGGAAGAAGAGGTGAACATGCTTTTGTTGCTGTTTACAAATGCAGGATTTCCTCCATGCGCACAGCTTTCTCTGCCCACGTGGCACCTTGCTAGACACCCAAAGAATCTACCCGCAGGCTGCAGACAGCGCTCCCGCCCGCAAGGCACAACCCGCGAGACTACAAGTCCCAGCATGCAGTGGTCCGGCTCCAGCTGAGCAGTGGCCAGACTGCACCGAGAGCCCATCACATGCTGGGATTAACCAGCGCAGTTGCACCCTCCCACTCGGCCTGCCCCTGGGTGCCCTGCATCACCAGCGTCATATGAAAAGTGCTTTCTTCTGCCCTTTTCCTCTCCCCCCTCTCTCCCCCTACAAGTACAGAGCTCACGTGGTGAATGATAGGACAGAGAGGAGGCAGCACACAAAAAGCCAAACACTTAATTCTGCAAAACACAGGATAAAGAAATAAAAGAGCAGACAGGAAGGTGCATATTAAACAGAGGAGACCAAAGCCCAAAACGTTGCATCCCAGCGCGGGCTGTGGCTGGAAGGCAGCGCGCTCTCCCCTCCCGCCCGCTGCGCCGCACACAATGAAGCGATGCCTCCCCTCCGCGGGCTGAGCCCTCCATTGTGCCGCTGCCTGCTCAGCCTCTCTGTAAACCTGCCGGCCGCCGGAGCGGCCGCCTCTCGTCTCGGCACCCCCATCCAGGTGCCGCATGTTCTGCTGGGGTCAGCAGAGATGAGCGCGTGCCTGCATTAGCCTCACACCACCACCACAAAAGCTGCAAAAAAACTAACGCAGCTGAAAGCCAAACGCCCCGAAAGCCTCTGCTCCTCCTCAGCCACCACTTCATTCTTTAGAGCCTATTTTTACAGCAACTCTTGTAAAGTTACATCACATCAGGGATGATCCAGACCTACAAATCAGCTTAAGGAGACCTGCGTTAAAGGCAGGTTTGGCTCATCCCCATGCTTGGAAAGGCTGCGGCCAGGAGAGCAGCCCAGGGTCATCCCATCAGCCCGGCAGCTCGAGCAGCCCAAAGGAAGCGGCATCTCTCCAGCTCCGCTCGCAGCCATTGTTCTGCTTTCCAGCCCGGCCGCCCTCCCGTCCCGCGTCCTTTCACTTGTCACACAGACCCAGAGCTTGGCCTCTGCCGGCCCTTCCACCAGCTCCCCTCCCTGCCTTCCCCACCTCCGTCCTGACTCACAGCCTACTACATAAATAAACCCAGTACGTAAGTAAACAGAGGCAAAAAATGAAGAGCACAAATAAACTCAAAAATAAACCTCCCTCCACAGGCTCCAAGCGGAGGCAGATTAGCATACCCTCCGGGTGCCTCCCCAGGGCATCTGAGCGGTCCCTCCCTCCCCGTGCGCGCGCGCACACACACACACACACACACAGAGCCCTTCAGCTTCCTGGCTAGCGCAGAAACCCACAGCGAATACTGAGGACAGGGGACGGCAGGAGACCAGGAGGCTGATGGCAGATAATAAGCAAAAACAATAATCTACTGTCTTTTAGTTCTCAGCCAGTGTCATTCAGCTCCTGCCAAGAAGATGCTTTCATACTCGGCAATGCTAAGCTCGGCCTCATTTTCTCATTACCCTGAGTGTGATCAACTGGGCAGAGATAACGCGTCCTCCTGGCTGGAGGGAGCAGGCAGTCATTTCACAAATTCTTCTGCACAACTAGCCTTTGTTGCAGGTGGAGCGAGGCCCGGCGGAGCGCCCGACGAGGCAGCCCTGGGAACACGCGGAGGGCAGCGGCTTCAGCGCCGGACTCGAGTTACTAAAGCTGGACTGCTCCTCGGTTGTTGGAGTCTTTCTAATTAAAGCAAAAGTGCTGGTACCTTATTCCCTCATTTCTGGTATTAAAACAAATAGCTGCGGAGGAGTTGCGTTTCAGGGTCACCCGCTGACGTAATGGATCCTTTTTACAAAGCTAGATATAAATCTGCTAAGAGTAAAAGCGTTCAGAACTGCTCAGATTGTATCCAAAAACAAAAAGCCAGTATCGGACTGCAGCGAGCGGAAGTCACTTGAGCAGGAATCGCTCTCATTTCGCCCTGCTAGGCTTTCGGGACAAGGAATCCCTCTGACGTCGCAGGTGTACCGGCAGCCGGGCTCGGGCTCCTCGGTAACGCTCTTCAGGCCACCTAGCACTGTGTAATGGCAAAGATCACATAACTCGTACATGAACCCGGCTGGTACCAGCGCCCTCGCTATCCGAGAGCGGGGGGAGGGCAGGGAAGGACCCACGAGACCTCAAAAGCCACATCTGTGATGCTTTGACTAGGTTCGCTCATTCTTCGCACCTCCACAGCTAGCTCCGTTCCCTTAGCCAGCCCTGCCATCGGAGGTTCACATCACTCCCTCCACCACCAAAGACAAACCCGACAAAAACTCAGCGATAGCAACAAAGAAACAATACAGCAACCGTGCATCTCCAGGACTGCTCTTTCCCGAGCACATAAAGAAGAAGCTCAAGGCAGCGGCCAGCTGCAGCTTTACTAAGTCAGGCAAATCTTTTACCTTGAGACTGCAAAGCCAATTCTCATATCAAGCATTTCCATAAATAACCCTGTAGGCTGCCGCTATCTAGCTTACAAACAAAGAGAAGTCTGAAAAGCACAAGGTTTCCCCAGAGAATCAGGCCAACAACACTCGCTAGGATAGGATAGGAAGAGCTGGAAAACAATGGAGCAACAAGTTGGGCAGACACCGTTTACCAGGAGACACCTAGCCGAGGGAGGAGGCTATCCCCTTGCAGGACACCAGGCCTTTTCCTGCAAAGTTTTACGAAAGCCTAAATTAGAACTGAGATGAGTTTGTGCCATTTAACCCATGACTCACAGCAGAGGCCCTGGGCCAAGCAGGCACACGAGGCTCCATGCAGCACACCACCACCCATCTCTCACCTGGCAACATACCCCGTAACGTTTGACCCAGTTTAAAACAGAGCAAAGTAAAAAACAGAAAGGAGGGGGGAAAGGATGGAAGTTCCTAACAAAGGGAGGGCTCTGGCGAAACTGCTGCCGCTGCCTTT